CCTGTCAGTGTAAAAAAAAAAAAAGTATCAAAGATATTAAAAGAAGTAAAAAGTGTCGCAGTTAAAGTCATGGAATTAATAATTGGCAAGAGAGAATAATCAGGCTACCACTTGTAGTTGTCATCGAGTAATTTTGACATCACAATTAATGAATCATAGAATGAAAATTAGAGTCAGTCGCATTTGATTGCACTTATAATCTTTTAACGTGCAACCTTTTGTTTACTTGTCATTTGATTCCCCCCCCCCCGGTTACCAACTCATTTGATGATTTTAGTCACACAAAGTTGTGTCAAAGTGCCTAGTAGTACTTCAGAGATTAAAGAATGATTTGTGTTTATACCAGAAATTCGTTGAATAAAGAATGATTTTAGGGGCTCATATAATATTATTATCTCTGGTCTTTAATATAAGAGCTAGTAGGGAAATTGAGTAATGGTTATAAATAGAAGACCCCAATCCATTCCCCCTCATATTTATCCAAACTAACCCTATTAGTTGTGCATGTGCTAAGGAAGTTTGCATTAATGGATAGTTTCAATCCAAATCATTTAAGAAGATATTTGAGAAAATCAACACATAGTTTTGACAATAACTAATTTAATTATTTTCCTTAATCTATCCAAATTAATTAAGTAGATCTTATATTAAGGATTGGGGATGGTATATCATTTTATACTTGGGGGTTCAAGTTCTCTAATACCCCTTCTCTTTTTGGTCCCATAATGCGGACAGTTTGTAGTTTGCAGAATAAATTTTGAACCATCTGTCTTTTTCCTTATCATAGTGTGCCGCAGGTTATCGAAAGATATGATCAGTACTCACAAATTGGGAGATTATATCATTCATCTGTTTTGGTAATATCATTATGCGTATTCTTTTTTTCCTGAAACTGACTTCGTCTAAATATATGCTTCGCAATCCTTTGCTCCGTTTTCCTCCTCCTTTAAATATAAATTAGCCTGAATTATGCGACACTATTCCATATCTCCTGAATAGTACAACTTATAAGCTCTTTTATATTATATATATATTTAGCTTGGTTTTGTTGAATTGTCCTTGCCATAGTACATTGTTCCGTTTCCTTTGATTTCAAAAACTTATCCCTATCCCTATCCGTCACTTGATTTTGTTTAATCACATAGATTCCCCTTTTCCACGGTTATATAATAGTTTTGTTTAGAAATGATGAAACATTTGGATTCATAGCTTATAGCTCACCTCCACCTAGCATAGGCCAAAGCTAAAACAGGATCCAAATGAGGTGATATCAAATGAGAACTATGAATAAATAAAAAAAAATGATTCAAGTTCGCCGACAATGTGAATAATAATGGTAATAAAATTTTATGTATATATAATAAAAGTTACGTTTTTCACTATGCTTGACCAGAAATTCAGTAACAATGAACTAATAGAAATCTCATGGGAATTTAAGAAGCTAATAAGCCTCAGGAATTGAGGTACGTAATACAAATATGTGTGCGCGCACGTGCACGCGCGCATGTACACTGTGAAGCTTTTATTATGGCCTCCTCTATGCAGAGACTTATATTGCATTAGTAAGGGGATGACTATACCTATAATTATATTGAAAGGCAGTTGAAGGGAGAAGAGCTTGAAGGATTGAACACAAAGGAATCAGATAAGCTTGAAGAACAAATAAAAAGTGGGTGAGAGCCGTGTTGTCAAAGCAAAGGTTTGCACTTTTGCTAAAAAAATTGATCTTACTTGGCCTCAACATGAGGGAGTTGTTGGCTAAGCTAATTACATATGACGGATGTGTTGGAAAAAGCTCATTTTGATAAGCTATTTGGAGTAGCTTATCCCAAAAAAAAAAAAAAAGAAGCTAAAAATATTCCCCCCCCCCCAACAAAATCTTCATGTAATCTTCTTCCCAACAATTCAAGTGTTAAACTTAATAAAATCACTTTTTTCTTTAATGTTAAACAAATTGGCCCATAATAAAACCTGACTAGTTCCTGTTGCTTATGCGGTAGCTATTATTGATTATATATTTGGAAATTAATTAGCTGCTAATGCGGTTGACTTAGCTATTATTAAGATGAAAATGCTTGTTTAATCATTTTATTATTTTCTCTCATTACAAAAAAGTGCCCTGGCTCCAACTTTTTAAAGATTTAACTGCAGCAAGAGCTTAACTGTGATTTCTCAAACCCCAACGAATCATCTTGAACAAATGGTTAAACCATGATTCTGTACAACTATGAGTTAAAATTAAGCTTAACTCCGGTTGTTAAGCAGCAATTAAGGCTGAGCTTCCTCCAATTTTCATAAAGCACAGATAGCGCAACTCACTTCAGACTATTCAAATGCATAGGGTTAAATATATAAGATATGATTTCAACAATACGGCACCTGATAATTTCTCCTCCTTATATACGTGCCTTCACATATAGTCTGAAATGAAATTAGTCTCTACCTCATAGAATGCAGAATAAATAAAAACGTAGGGAAATTTTAGTGAGAGAGAGAAATTATGTGTATTGATATATATATATATATATATATATTTGTATTATATTTCACTTGCTTTCCCTGAAATTCAAGAGTAATGAATCATAAATGTTATGCATAGTATGACAGGGACACTTTCAGCAAGCTCAGCAAGGAAGAAGCCAATAAGGTTCAGGAACTGAAGTATGTATGTATATATATTTATGTGCTATTACATATTTATACAGTGAAGTTTTTATTTTGTGCCTACTCTATGCATATACCTACAATGTTGTATTACTGAGCGATCACTATGTCTTATAATTGAAAGGCAGTTGAAGGGAGAAGAGCTTGAAGGATTGAACATAAATGAATTACAGAAGCTTGAAGAGCAATTAGATAAAGGTTTGAAACGTGTAGTCAGAGCAAAGGTTCGAATTGTCTTATCCACTTCTATGTTGCATCTTTATTTGTATATGTACCCGTGGAAGAAGGAAGGAGAATCTCCATGAATTTTGGATCATTTTGCAGACACTCTTTCAAACTTTCAAAACATAAAGATAAGTTCGTCAACTCCCAACATTGTTATATGTTGGGACCATGAGAAGCTTATCTTGTCAATTATAGATGAGTTTTGAGATGACATATATACTTATCAATAACAATAAAAGTCTATTATGGAAGAACCTATCTCCTGGACCTATTTTTCAGTTTGAAAAGTAATTAGGAAGCTATTTGTTGGTTTTTGCATTCATTTTCTTGATATAACAATTGAGGGATCGAACTCTCATTGCTTTTGAAATGTGGGGTTTATATTTTTGGAAATTCTAGTTTGGATAAAAGCTTCATTTCCAAACTTTTTGCATTTAAAAGTATTTATTCTGGATTTCTATTACCCACACCTAGCTATGTTGAAAATTTGTGAAATTGACTAAGCTGAACGGAAACTAATCTATATGGTATATGTTCAATTTCACTAGCTTCAGAGCGTCCATTCTCATGAGAGTGTCCCTCAAAAATTTGAGAAAGAAGAATGTATTGAAACATTGGCTATTGTGGGAGAATTCTGCTACTTCTTTTTTTCCCCCCCTCCCAATTTTGAAACAAAATTACTTCAATACATTGCTCCAATAATTTAAAAATCCATTTTCTGCTAACATAAAGAAGAGATTTTCCAAAGCTCTTGGTCAAATACCTTCAAACAAATTTTCTCGCTTAAACTACTCCTTCCAAACACACTATAAAGGATAGCTTTAGCGATTGTTTTATTGGGGCCACTTTGCTGATATCCAGAAATTATTATAACTAATCTGCATAGATGGTTCTTTTTGTGATTTGCAGGATGACATATGTTGAAAGAGATCGATGCGCTCAAAAGAAAGGTCAAGCACATTCCAAACTTAATTGTTGAAATCTTATATATTTTTGTTCAGTTATAACTTGAAGCTTGAAGAGGGAAAAAAAAGAATTATCATCGTCAAACTTTCTTTCCCTTTCCCATCCTCCTTAATCCATTCATACATGGAGAATTTGAATCATTAACATATAATGTTTGAAAAACAATCTACATGATTCTTCTATTTAATATTGATACAACGAAAAATTTTTTTATAAAATATGCCCTGTGGACTAAAGAATAGCAGTCTAAGACATCTATGGATTGAATTGAGTATTCCTTGGCTGTGTTTGTATCTTCATATTTAATCCGTAAGTATTAAAACTACATGTCTGGCTTTTAGGTTCCCTCACTTGTCTGAAAATGCTACTTGTTTTATCCGTGCAGAGAATCAATTGGTGGAAGAGAATCAGCGATTAAAACAGGTGACCGGAATTTTGAAGTTTTTTTCATTGTAAACCGTTAAATTTCTGTGTTTCTAATGTTTACAGCATCGAACTAGTTAAGACATTGATTTAAATTTTATTGCCCTGTTAATAGATGATCCTTAGTTGAATGGGTCATTATTAAATTGTATACATAAAAAAATCAGTTTTTTTTTGGTTGACCAAATTTGACTGACTATTATGTGGAAGCTTTTGAAAGCATTTTAAATCAAAGGAAGGTCCACTTCACTGGTTGAACCAGCTGGTCCAATCTAGTTCTCAAATCACTTGTTTTGAAAGAGAGTCTTAAAAGATGGAAAATGTCTGTGTTTAGGTGAGGAATCCTTCACAAGAACAAGGAGGCCAGTCATCTGAGTCAGCCAACACTGGCAGCATATTTGATCCTCCGCATGATGATGATAGTTCAGACACTTCTCTCAGATTGGGGTGAGTATAACTGACTTAACTGTCTATTCTTGCGCTTTCTGAACTATCATCATGATTTTGCTGGTATAGTGAATAGACTTGTGATTACATGATGGGTTGGTTTTATATAGAAACATAATACTGAGGATCTCAAAACAAAAAGTAAATTTCAGCAGCCAGATCTTTAACAGTTTGGAGGAGCATTGAAATCATATGATAATACGTGAATATATCCTTGTCAGAGTTCTGAATTGTCAAATATTGGGGATTGCATGTGTTAATTAGGGTCTCGTTTTAACACTCAACATTGAGTCACAAAGCCAACAGCCTTATAGCTTAGTGTCATGAAAATTTCCTGAAAGTGAGAAGTAATTACGGGTTTGATCTGACTTGTAATCTCAAACCGGTAATACTTGTTCTTGAAAAAAAAAAGAAGAGGAAGTCAAACAGTGAACTTTAGCTTGTCTTTGCAAGGTGTATTTAGAATATGTATTCTTGCATACACTTAATGTGAGACTAAATTTATTAGTGTGTGTGTGTGTGTGTGAAATTAAGGATCAGATGTGGATCTGTGGCATATATTATTAAAAGTTTAACTTGATTTTATTTTGTGTGTTGCAGATTGTCTTTATTTAAATGAGAACAGGAAAAAAAAAAAAAGATGATGAGGCACTATAGAGCAGAACCAGATACTCTTGAGATCATCATTCTTGCGGGTGAAATTGAACCAATTCAGGAGCTTTTTTCCCATTATTTCATGAGAATTTAAGTTTGCTTTTAATCCGTAAGTAGGTATTGGTTACATAAATTGACCAAATGAACATATACATATGTGTGTGTATACATATCCAATGGTGTTGTACATAAATTCCAAAGTCATGTATAAACAAAGGGTCCAGTGCTCGGCCTTAATGTGTGCAGCTTCATTCACCCGCCATGGTGGTGGTTATTTGACATATTCTGCAACCAAAAAAAAATAAAAAATAAAAAATAAAAGAGAGATAGGGAGAGAGAGAATTAATGTATTAGTACCCTCCGCTACTAATTGTAAAGCCTTGTTTACAAGTAAGGTTTTATAATTAGAATGGGGGTAGTATTAGTATTACCAATAAAATTAAGTATGAACTGATCATTCTTAATTAAAACAATACTTTTCAACATATGGATTTGATATTGAGAATTATTTTTCTGGTCTTATTTATAAATTACTGGTAACATGTTTTATTTTTAGTGATAGTACTTCTAATATGTTTTATGCATATTAAAAAAAATTTAAATTTATTAATTCTGATTTAAAATTTAACAATTTTTTAATTTTAGTCTTATTTAATATATATTATATTTTGTGTAAATAAAGTTAACACAATAACAATTAAAAGGTAAAATTGTATATTTTTATAAAAAATTCTCTTCACATTCATAAATAAGATTTAAAAATATCTTCTCTTTTTGCTTACAAATAAAACTAGAGAAGTATATGTTTATTGCTAAAACAAATTAAGAAAATAATAATTGTATATCTATACAAAAAATTTTCTCAATGTTTATAAATAAAACTAAAAAATGTCTTTTCTTTCTGTCCTATAAATAGGATTAGAGGAGTATATGTTTATTGCCAAAACAAATTAAAAAAAAGAGCAATTGTATATTTATGCAAAAAAAAATTTCTTAGTATTTATAAATAGGATTAAAAAATGTCTTCTCTTTCTGTCTTATAAATAGAATTAGAGGAGTATATTTTATTGCTAAAACAAATAAAAAAATGAACAATGTATATTTATACAAAAAAAATTTCTTAGTATTTATAAATAGGATTAAAAAATATCTTTTCTTACTGTCCTATAAATAGGATTAGAGAAGTATATGTTTATTTGCCAAAAAAAAAAATTAAGAAAAAGAACATTTCATACCTTGAGGGAGAGATTGGCTTTTTACACACCATACTGGTGAACAGTGCAACGTTTGTATTTGGGCCAAAATGTATGTTTTTGTTTTATTTTTTATTTGGCAACCTCAGAAAATATTGTCTTCTTTATACTATTTTTGTTTTTAATATAAGACTTAGTTAATTAATTTGGAGAGATGAAGAAATTTATTTTATCACTCTAAAGTATTTTATATTTATTGGCTTTTTAAAACTAATTTTCCCTTACTTATAAATTAATAAATAATCTAATGATACATATAAGTATTTTAAAAAGATTATATAATATATGTATAATTAATTAATTTAGTAATTTTTTTAAAGGGAAAATGACAAGAAAATGACTGTTGAATTCTGAAATGACAAAATGGGCATGTAAATTACTGAAATGACAAAATGGGCATGGGGGTATCAATATGGAATTTGGATAATTCGCCAAAAAGATTGAAGTGCACGAAACTGGAGTTTGGTTGGCGGTTCTCCACTCGGCGAAACTGCATAGACCATAGGGTTCTTCGAACTCTCACATTGCACTCGGCGAAACTGCATATGGTTCTCGCAAGTCTCACATTGCCATGGTTGAGGAACTGTGAACGAGGAATGTGAATAGCATCCGTCTTCTGTCTTTTCAGTGGGTCGCAGTGAGAAGCAATAAACCAGTGACAAGCTTTAATCTTCAGAAGGGAGAGGGGGTGGCTAGAGAGAGAGATTCTGAGGGAGAGCACCTGTAAGGTTGTCACTGGTTGAGGAAGAAGTCGATATTCGTTCCGACCCCGTTAAGCCACCTAAATCTCTCCATCTTGTGCTTGTCTGATTGGAGTGTTTTGATTTGGGGAAAACGGTGAATGTTGGTTGTAAAGTGGGGGAAGCAATGGTAAAGGCTTAAAATGGAATGTAAAGGTAGATTAAATTAAAACTTGGTGCTTCTGTGTGTGACGGAATTATAGAAGTTGTTTGCTTGCTCTAATTCATATAACTCGGTCCATGTTTGACGAGATATCTCTCTCATTGTTGTTGTCTGATTGTTGTGTTGCTGTAATGTTGGAAGGCATAATATACGTGTGTGTTTATGATTGTTACACTACTTTTTAGAAGCGCATAAATTGAGACCATTGTCACACATGAACTAGTGGATGCTTCCTGTTTCCGCCCCCTTGTTTGGTCTGTTCGTGTAATGGACATTGCACATTTTTAGCATTGTGTATGGGACTAAAATGAGTTCAACTATATCCCTATATTGGTTATGCAAATTTAACATTGTAAAATAAATTGAAAGGGATGACTCTTCGTGGGTAGAACTCTGTTTTGAGGATATAGCTACCTAATGGGCATAACCTCAGTCATTTAGCGGTGCAATTTACCTGGGGATGAACATGCATATTCATTTCAGTATGTACCAAGTGAGAATAACCTTTGTGGCCCTCTTATGTATTGCTATTATTTACTTGGTCATCTGTGGCATTATGTAGTAGTAATTTCCATAATATAAGTTACTTGAAGATGCAAATTTTGTTACATTTCATCGAGAAAGAATCACTTTTGATGCATATTCATTTATTTTTTAATCTGTTGGTTTGAGGATTGAAGAGGCAGAGATTAATTTGCTAGTTTGAGGATTGAAGAGCTAGAGGTCGCTGAAGTGCTGAGAAGCATCAATCGCATTGCTGTCATGGAGGAGGTTGGCGAAGTAATTGTGACTGTGACAAATGATAATATGCAGTTGTAATAGGAATTAAGTGGTTGAGTTATATAGGTTTGGTAAGATTAGATTGTTTTTAGTTTGTTCTTAAAGTGTATTATGTTGTTAGTCTCTATTTTTTGCTCTGTTCTGTGAAGTGAGAAAGAAACAATAACATTCATTACATGATCAGCAAATTTAGTTATCTGAGTAGTAAATAGTCGAGGTTCATTTTGTGGCTAAATAACAACACCTATAATGTGAATGACTACACTGGAAATGGTAATGACAACTTTTTTGAAATGCGAAGAAAGTTGAGCTGTTCAACTGACCAGATTTAGTTATTTATACTTGTTGTAGAAGGAGGGCCAAGTGAAGAAGTGAAGAATGGCTACATGTTGTTTAGACGAGAATTTCTTAAGGGTGGGGAGAAGTTTAAGAATATGTCTGAACAGTGAAAAAGGCATCAAAGGCATGGAAGCAGTTGACACCAAAGGAGCAGAAGAAATACAGTGATAAGGCGAAGCAATCAAGAAAGGAAGGGATGAAGAAGAAGAGGAAGAAAAAAGTGGTTTTTAGCACTCGTTGCTCGGTTCGGCAATTTAAGTCATTAGTAGACTTCATAAAAGATGATGAAGGTTTGAAAGTGAGGGTACAAAATTTAGGCTTTGGCCATTTACTTGACATTGAATGTGAGAGACTCCTTCGTGACCTCATAGTATGTGTGCTCCGAGCATATGATCCGCTTACCCATCAATTTCTAATAAGAGGGATAATAAAGGAAATAGAAGCAAATGATGTTGCAAACTTATTGGGTGTACCCCACATAGGGGAGAAGGTAAAAATAGACGTATGTGATGATGATGAGACATACCAGAGGTTGAAGGAGGAATTTGGTAAAGTCCCTTATACGAAGATACTCAATGACATTAAATTTGGGCAGAAGAAAGATGAGTTTGAGTTCTTGTTTATGCTATACACACTTGGGAGTTTTTTAACTCCTACTTCACAAACAACTGTGAGTAACAAGCTATTAAGAGTCATGTGTTGTACCATGAAGGGATTTCACCAATTTGATTGGGCCACGTACATTGTGAAGCACTTGTGGAAAGAGATGGGAGATTATGTGAAAGTGTATACAAAAGCAAAGAAAGACGAAGATGAAGATGAAGGAAGCTGCAATGTGGGAGGATGCATCTACCTCCTATTGGTATGTATTTCTGACTTATGCTTCTAAGTTATTTTTTTCTTTATTTGTCGAATTGGGAAGTTAATGATTTACTGTTGTAGTTATATTTTGCTGAGCACTTCCCACTATCCAAAACTGTTGAGAGAGGGTCCCTAAATGCTATTCAATTCTGGACTGATGAGAGGATAAGGAAGTTGGAAAAGAAGGAGAGGGAAAGCAAGAGGGGTTTACTGTATAAGGGCAAGGGAAGTATAGATAGAAATGGGAAGGATGAAGGAAAACACAGAAGTGTGGCTCATTTACACCTGGTATGTGCTTTCGTTACTAATTTTCATTCTCATTAGCAAATAATCTCATGAAAAAAGTGTTTACTCATTTTAAATTATTTGTTGCAGGAGTTACAGAAGTTGCACAGATGATTGATGGCTCAGATCGAATTAAGCACTAGGAGGCTTATAAGTGCAATAGAAGATGAGCTGGATAAGGTGCAGATAACGATAGAGGAAAATAATTTGACCACAGATGATAAGGACCCTATTGACGTCCCAGATGATGATAAGGGAGATGATGATGCATTTGGCGATGATGACCCCCATGATCATGATGGACATGAGTCTGATCACGAAGGTGATGATAGAGATGAGTTCCATGAGGGAGATGATCAGGGAGACGATGATGCAACTGGCTCAGATAGGGGTGATGAGATCGGTGTTGCAGTAGAAGGTGCAGACAAAGAAATTATGAAGTCTCCCCTGCCCTTTTCCCCCATGGACAAGGGATGTCAACTCCGGAGGTCGCAAAGGGAGATGAAATCCGCTATCAATTCTCCATGGATTTTGATAAATCTAATTAAGA